TTGATATTGGTGGAGCTGGGCGTCAAAGTGATGGTGGAACTTTATCTAATTCACAATTTGTAAGAGCACTTGAGTCTGAAATTTTGTCAATTCCAGATAACTGTCCTTTACCTGGTACAACTCATCCAAGTTTACCATATGCTGTTGTGGGTGATGAGGCTTTTCCTTTACGAAATAATATGCTACGTCCATATCCAGGAAGATATTTACCAGGTAATCAAAGATGAATTATTGCTTATATCTCATGTTATATCTCATAAGCTGAAGGTTCATAATGGTGAAACTTTGGGTAAGGATCAGATGGGAACTCTATATTGACAAGCAACTGTTGTATCTGAAGTTTGGCAATTGCTTTCTGTCGGTCATTAAATTTACGTAGTGTAGCAGCAACATGTTGACCAAAATATCCTTCGTCATCAGTTAGCTCTTTTGCTGTCCTTCTCTTCTGAATCTCTTTCAATTCAGTTATCATTAGTTCCTCCACTTCATCTCTTTTCTGACCACTATTTTTCCTTTTAGTGGGTAATTTAATGGGTGTTGTCTTGTCACTACTAACTGCCCTCACACCTGATTCACTATTATTCAATGAAAGTTATCACAAACACATATTTTATACTTATCATCAGTATCCGTAAAATTGTAATCATCATCTACTTGATCAGGTAACTCCAAATTATTAATGGGCGTAGTTGAACGACTTGACACTGCCAGAGTTGGCAAGTTGGAAACAGTGCTGTAGCAAGTATAAAACTGATTGTAATAATAGAAGGAATATAGCTATTGCTTACTCTCTGTGTTTAACAGTATCTCCTATAAATAACATGATATTGTACAATGGCCAGTTAGAGACATAGCATGGTCCTTCTTCTCCAGACTTCCTTTTTTTAACCTTTTTGTTTTCTCTTACAAATTTGTCTCTTAAGCTCCTCCACCTCCTAATGCAATCATCAGCTGTCATACCTTCCATCTATATATATATGTATACATATTATTATTTTAGTTCCGTTTTAGTTGAAAGATGTACAGTACTTCAACTTACTTGACTTGATATCTCTTTCCAGGCGTTTTCTTTGGCGATTATGTCTCTATATCCTTTGCTCTGCACGTTCCACAAGCAAGAGAAACTGCGAACAAGTTCCACCAGCTTTTCATTCTCCATTTTCTTTTCCACGTCACCACGTGCTTCAGGCAAATTGATTGGTCAGACGTTACATAATTGATGTAACAATAGAAAAGAATTCTATTCCTACGTATTTTACGCAAACACCAATGCAAGATGTTCACAAATTACATACTTTATGCAACAATTTGGTATGGAGTTACTAGCGTTAATTCTAAACCAGCCTTTACTCTTTTCAGCACATACAGGAGCATCAGTAAGTATGAATGTATTTCAGAAGGTTGTAATTTATTACAAAATTAGGTTTAGAGCAGACTTCAGAAGCTCATGCTACCAGTTAATAATAATGCAGCTTCTGTGTTAATAAATCAGTGTGGAGAGGGCCATGATGACGAAGTTTTGAACTGGACAAACTCTCTTATTCCATTTTGTGTACCGTCTAATTAAGAAGTGTCATTACTTCTTATTTGAATATACTTTAAGAGTCAGGAAGTCCAGCAAATATCCTGTCACGAGCTTCTTAAACTGCATGTTGACTAGGTCTGGAGTATGTATTCGTAATAGAATCATCAACATCACTATATTTAAGATCTTCCATATAATGCAGATGCACCCATTCCTCCCTTGATTATCACTATGGCTCCTCAAGTATGTCCGTCTTTTGCAAGTATCATCTTCTCGAAAAGACGGAGTTTCCATAATCCTCGGAGAGTGTCATCATGAATGAGTGCGACATCACCTATTGATATATCACTTGCAGATTCAGTAAATTTTCTCTTATGGGATTCACGAAGTTCCACCAAATTTTCTCTTCGTCTATTCCAAAAGTGCTCTAAAATTACATTGAGATGCTTGAGACACTTAGAAAGTAGAAATTTATTTGTGTCAGTGTTAAAGTCATATTCTGAGTAATACAAATAGTCTGGTAGACTGAGAAGTAGTTTTTGCCACGAGAAAATGCGACGGGATAAGTGGATCATCCAAATCCTCTGATAATAAGTAAGTTAGAAGTCCAGAATTAACAACAAGTTTCACTTCAGTAACACAAGTTAATAGCTCTTCAAAAGTAAGTCTTGCCTGGCCAATCATCTTTCTGAAACATCTCTTTAAAAGCTGTATCATTTGTGACCATAATTGACAAAAGGTACCTTATGGCGGGTAGTGAAGTTTGTCTTTAAAGCCAAAAAATCCAACTTCCAGAGCTCCAGCTATCATAAAATTACTCTACGGGATGCAAAAAGTTACTATGTAACTTTTAGAAACAATGATTGTCCAACAGAGCACTCACAGATTGATATATTTTTCATTATTATGATGAATTTTTAAATCCGCCATAAGGTACCTTTTGTCAATTATGGTCACATTTATTCAAAGAGGTCTCCCCACGATGGGGCTCACTCTATATTAAAATTCTATGAGACTTGAAATCCAGAGAGGAAATCTTTAACTCCTGGATGATCTAGAATTGACTTTAGCAACATCTATGCAGCCTTGAAAGCCCTTCCATTATCAGTGATGATTCTTGATGGTAATCCTCTTCTTGAGATAAATCCACAACATCAGTCTTCATAGCCAAAAAATCCTACTTTCTGAGCTCCATTTATCATAAAATTACTCCACAGGATGCATAAAGTTACTACGTAACTTTAAGTCACTATGGTTGTCCAACAGGGCACTCAGAGGTTGATATTTTAGTAATGAATTTATAAAATCTGCCATAAGCTATCTTTTCTCATTTATGGTCACAAATAGTTACAAGTACAATATAACGCATTTTGATAACAAACTCAAGTGATAAGAACTCAGTCTCAAACATAACTTCCGGTACAAACTACACCATGAAACTGAGAATAGAGAAAACAAATAGTGAGATCTAAGAAAAAGAACGTAACATATCACAATCAACGTCAAATAAATGGAACTGTCTAATCTGTCGCTTGTAGCATTTTAAACTATACTTTAAAACTAAAAAAGAGGAAATAAGGACTGAAAAATGAGTGTTAAATGAAACATTTAAAACCAAACACTATTAATTTGGTAAATTCTATATTCTACAACAATCTTTGTGTCCCGTAAATTCAGTAATAATATTAAGAATAATGATGATAATTATAATTATTTTGTTCTTCAAAGTTCTATGCTTTACATCAATCTGTGTCCTGTTTTAGTCTGTAATAATAATTGTAAAAATAAGAATAAAAATGATAATAACATTTCGTTCTTCAAACTTCATATTATTTGTTTCTTTTCTCAATTTCGTCAAATAGTGTAATATCATGCTGTGACAAACGACACTGAGTTAAAAACAATTAAAATTAGTTTCAAAACGTTGTTTGTACTACTGATTTCACACTATCTGTTTCTTCCTTTCTCACACCTAATGTAAAGTTTATATCATAAGTGGCAGATCAAACTGAGTTTTCTCATTCAAATTTGTTTATAAATGATGTTTCAGGTACTTCTTAGTTCAAATGTGTAGTTCAAAATACAAGAAGTCACTGATCAGACTGATTTTTTATCATTTTATTTTGGTATTAAAATATTTCATGTACTATTGAATACTCAGACATTGTTCTGATTTCACTTTTCTTTTTTTTATAAAAGCAAATGCTGAGGTACTGAGAGAAGACTGATAGTTTCACGGAGAAGGTGAGGCAATAATAACAGGAAGATCGTGTGGCCATGAGATCACAAAGGTAGTGGGTAGTGAGAGTAGCGAGATAGTGTGGCAATGAAAGAATGAAAATGGTGTCACATTGAGAACAGGGAGATAGTGAGGCTCTGATAGCAGGTAGATGGTGTGGCAGTGTGAGCATGGAGATACTAATGGTTGCAATGAGAGCAGAAGACTGAAAGCAGAAAGTTAGAGCAGCTGCAAAAGCAGGGACATGGTGTGGCAGAAAGTGCAGACTGCAGAGATAGTGTGGCAGTGAGAGCAGGAAGATATGTTTCGCAGTAAAAGAATTGGTTTGGCAGTGACAGCAGAAAGACGGTCAGCAGTGACAATAGGGAGATGGCAAGACACAGAAAAAAGGGCGGTGGCATGGCATTGAGGCAGTGAGATCAGGATAATAGTGTGGCAGTTAAAGCAGGCAGATGAGTAGCAATGAAAGCAGGGAGATGGTGAGGCTGAGTTGCAGCAAGATTGTGTGGCAGTGAGAGCAGAAAGTTTATGTGGTACTGAGAGCAGGGAGTTCGTGTTTCAGTGAGAGCAGGGAAATGTTAATGCGCATAGAGCACAGAGCTTGTGTAGCAGTAAGAGCAGAATAATGGTGAAGTCTTGGGAGTAGAAAGATATTTTAGCAGTGAAAGCGGGGAAATGGTGTGGCAGTGAGGGCAGGGAGATTGTATGGCAGTGAGAGCAGAAAGATGGCAAACAGTTGGTGTGGCAGTGATAGCAGGAAGATAGTTTGGCAGTAAGAGCAGAATGTTGGTTTCGCAGTTAAAGCACAGAGTCTGTGTAGCATTGACAGCAGTGAGATGGTGTCACAGTGAAAGCAGTGAGATGTGGCATTGAGGTGCCACACCATTTCCCATGTCTCATTACCACTCTATCTCTGCTCTCACCGCCACACTTACTCTCTGCTCTCACTGCCAAACCAACTTTCTGCTGTCACTGCTACACAACCTCGCTGCTATCTCTGCCCACCATCTTGATTTTGTTGCCACAGCATCTCCCTGCTCTCATGCCACATCATCTCCCTCTTCTTACTGCCTCACCATCGCCCTGCTCCCATTGCTAAACCATCTCCTTGTTCTCATTGCTACATGATTTACCTGCTCTCAATACCAAAAGATCACCCTGCTCTCATTGCCAACTCCATCTTTCTGCTGTCAATGCCACACCATCTCAATATTTTTACTGCCATGCCTTCTTCCTGCTCACTCCCACACAATCTCCTTTCTCTCACTGCTACACAATCTCTTTTCTCACTGCCACACCAACTCTGTTTCTTACAATGTCCCCGTTCTCATTGCCAAACCATTTCCCTCTCCTACTGCCACCCCATCTTTTTGCTACCACTGCCTCACCATCTCCCTGTTGTCACTGCCACACAATATCCCTGCCGTCATTGCAACACCATCTCACTGCTCTCAATGCCTCAACATATTCCTGCTCTCACTGACACACATTCTCCCTGTTGTCACTGTTACACCATCTTCCTGCTTATACGGCCACGGTACCATCTCACTGTAACATCATTCTGCTTTTTCTGCGACATTAACTTGTTGCACTTATTGCTTTAAAAACTCCCTGCTGTTACTGCCTCACAATCTCCCTGATATCTCGGCAACACATTCATCCTATTCTTGCAGCCACAACATTATCCTGCTCTTACTGCTACCATCTTCCTCCTCCCCTGCATCACGATTTTCTTGCTCTCAATGTTTCACAATCTGCTGCCACACCATCTCCCTCTTCTAACTGCATCAAAATGTCATTGCTTTCACTGCTACATTAAATTGACTCTCTCATTGACTCACCAACTCACTGCTCTAGCAGCCTCACCATCTTCATGCTCTCACTGCCACACCTTACCCCTGCCCCCTAATGCCCCACCATCTCATTGGTTTCACTGCCATGCAAACTCTCTGCTTTTACTGCCTCACCATCTCTCGCTTCTCTGCTGCCACACCATCTTCCTGCTCTCACTGCCACAACATCTCCGTGCTCTCTCTGCCACACAAACTCAAGTCCCTGCTGTCACTGCAACACCTTGCTGCTCTCTCTGCCACACTATCTTCCTTCTCTCATTGCCACACAATCTCCGAGCTTTCATTGCCACAACATCCCCCTGCTTTCACTGCCTCGTCATCTCTCTGCTGTCGTGGCACACCATTTCCCTGTTCCCACTGATACACAAACTTCTGGCTCTAAGTTTAAAAACATTGTTGTTCTAACTGGTCATTTGTAAGAAAAAAACATATAAACAAAGCTTCAAAATCAACCTCAAATGAAACTGAATAAGAAACAAATAGTAAGTCAGTATTATATTAAACATTTTAAAATAAATTTTAAATAATAAAACTGAGTCTTCTCAGTCACTCCTGGTATAAGTTACTATGAAAGTGAGAAAAGTAGATACCAATGCT